ATTAAAATGAGGAAAACGTTGATGCCTTATAGATTTGTAATCAACTCGGGTATGCCCAAATTTTGGATATTCAAAGTCCAAACACCTGGATTCATTATTTATGTTTGTTTTATCTATCAAATTTATTTGATAGATAAAAGATGCTGCACATCTTGTGGATTCTGAGGAGCTCACATCAAAATAAAACATTTAACAATTATAAATATAACAATGGATTAAAATTACAAAAATTGAAGCAAGCTAAAAGAGAAGGGTTTGGAAGAAAAAGATAGGGTGCCTTCTCTGTTACTGTACCAACCACCTCCATCAGAAGCTTCTCCTTCAGGAACCCCATGCCAGTCAGCTTAGCCAGGTTTTAAGGCTTTTCCTGAAGGATAAAAGTGAGGGGGAAGATCTAATATCCTGAAGCAAGATGTTCCAAAGGACAGAAGCAGTGGCAGAAAAGGCTCTTCTCCTAGATCCCACCAGCCAAAATTCCTTGGCTGATGGGATCCGGAATAGGCTCCTTCTGCCAGCACAAGTGGGGCAGGCCATTCCCACTGTGGAAAGACAGTTCCACAGATATCCTGGACCCGTGATAGTGAACGTATGGCGCGCATGCCACAGGTGACATGTGTAGCCATATTGGTGGGCATGCAAGCTCAGCTCTGGCATGCATACACATGCCAGCCAGCTGATTTTCAGGTCATTTGGACCCACCAGAAGTAGGGAAACACACTGTTTCCTGCTTCCGGAGGACCTCGGGGGGGTGATGAGGAAGGCCTGTTTTTCTCTTTCCTCAGCCTCCAGAGCCTTTCTAGGAGTCTGGGAGGGCAAAACTGGCCTTCCCCACTGCCCTAGTGGGACCAGAAGTTGCCAACGGGCCATTTTCGGCCTCCAGAAAGCCTCCAGGGGGGTAGGGAAGGTTGTTTTCACCCACCCCAGACTTCTAGAAAGGCTCTGGAGGCTGGGGACAACAAAAAATGGGCCTACCGTGCCATTGCGTGCCAGGAGTGGGGGTAGCAGGGGGGTCACGCATGCATGCAAGGAGGCAGGGCGCATAGAATTATGGGTGTGGGCACATGTGAGTGTGACCCCACACACACACACACTCCTGAAAAAAGGTTAGCTATCACTGTCCTGGACCATGCCAATAAGGGCTTTAAAAGTAATAACACCTTGAATTGCGCTTGGGAGCAGATCAGCTCACTGTTATGTAGCTCATATAACAGTGGTGTTACATGTGGCACCCTAAGGGCCTCCAAAGCTGCCTCTGCCACTGAGTTCTGGACCAATTGTAGCTTCCAAATGCTCTTCAAGGGTAGTCCCTCATATTTATTTTATTTATTTGTCAAACATGTATAAGATAATAGATACAAGTGTAAACATGATTATGAATATAGGAAATGGATACGAATAAATGGGGACAGTAGGAAGGGATGGTAGGAGCGTTGGTGTGCTTATGCATGCCACTCTTAGGAATGGGGTCAGATCAACACTAGACAGTCTAAGGTTAAAGTTATGGGGGTTTGGTCAATGCCTGGAATGCACTACCTGACTCTGTGGCTTCATCCCCAAACCCCCATAACTTTAGAGTCAGGTAGTGCATTCCAGACATTGACCACTCTGTTGCTGAAGTCGTATTTTCTGCAATCGAGTTTGGAGTGGTTTACCTTAAGTTTGTATCTATTGTGTGCTCGTGTATTATTGAGGTTGAAGCTGAAGTAGTCATTGACAGGTGGGACGTTGTAGCAGATAATTTTGTGTACTACGCTTAGGTCAGATCAAAGGCAGCATAGTTTTAAGTTGTCTAAGCCCAAAATTTCAAGCCTGGTGGCATAAGGTATTCTGTTGTGAGCAGAGGGGTGGAGTACTCTTCTCATGAAATATCTCTGGACTTGCTCAATTGTATTAATGTCCAATATGCAGTGCGGGTTCCAGGCAGATGAACTGTATTTGAGAATTGGTCTAGCAAATGTTTTGTATGCCCTAGTTTGCAGTACAATATTACCAGAGAAGAAGCTTCACAAGATTAGGTTAACAACTCTTAATGCCTTTTTGGCAATGCTGTTACAGTGAGCTCTGGCACTTAGATCATTAGAGATGAATACTTGATAGAGTGAGGGTCATCTATGCGGTCATATCCACCCAGCTTGTATTTGGTGTTCGGATTTTTATTTTTATTTTTTGCCAGTGTGTAAGACAGAGCATTTGTTGGTTGAGATTTGGAGTTGCTAATTGTTTGACCATTCTGACACATAATCAAGGTCTCTCTGTAGGGCAGCCGCATTGTCGTTGGTTTTGAATAGTTTTACATCATAGAGCATGTTTCAATAATCCAAGCAGGAGATAACCAGGACATGAGTGACTGAACCCAGAGCCTCACAATTCAGAAAAGGGCCCAGTTGGTGCACCACACAAAGTTGTGCAAACACTCTCTTAGCCACAACTGCTACGTGCTCTTCGAGCAAGAGTTGCAAGCCTAGGAGAACTCCCAAGTTGCAGAACAAGTCTGTCTGGTCTGGTGTCACCCCATCCAGAACTAAAGATGACAAACCTCCAAATCGCAAGACTCTGCATACCCATAGCCACTCAGTCCCACCAAGGTTCAGTTGAAACCTGTTGTTCCCTATCTATGCTCCCACAGCCTCTGGGCACCACAAAAGGGCAGCCATAAAATCACTTGGGTCCCTAGTGATGGACATATAAAGCTGAGTATCATCAGCATATTGATGGTATCTCACACCCTTGTGTTAGATGATCTCACTCAGCAGTTTCATGCAATATTAAAAAGGGTAACTCCTACATTAAGGAAACTTGAATTGCAGCATATAGGCATGTAGTAGCAAAATCCCCTTAGGCCCATACAACAAAGCGAATGAAATGAACCCTAACTCTAACCTTAGAGATAGACTATAGTAATTTCATTTTAATTCTTTTTTATTATTTATGGTTTAGGCTGCCTTTGTTCTTCATCTATTCTCTGGGTGGGAGAGGGATTAGATGATGAGGCAGGTGAAGTGAGAGGGAACTCTCTTAATGCACTGTATAAATTCCCTCTAGTTTTTTTATACACCCTTCCTCTGCAGGTGGGCTAGTTTTAATTCAGCCATAAAGAGAACTCCAGCATCAGACCAATAGATGCAATTTGGGTATTCCAAGAGCAAATATTTGGTCCAGTTCCTCTCCCCTGCCTCAGTGAAACATTGTAGAAGCAATTATTTATTTTATTTATATTTTATTTATATTTAAATTTATATACCGCCCTTCTCCCGAAGGACTCAGGGTGGTGAACAGCCAAAGATAAAAAAACATAAAATACAAAATTTAAAAGCAGTTTAAAATATATTAAACAATTTGGCCCAATAATTTAAATACCCCATTTAAAATTAAAATTAGACAATTCGAAAAGTTAGGCCAGCCTGGCTTGTTGAAATAAAAAAGTCTTGAGGGCCCGACAGAAAGTACGTAGATCTGGAATCGTCCGTATCTCTGGGGGGAGCTCGTTCCAGAGGGCAGGTGCTCCCACAGAGAAAGCTCTCCCCCTGGGGGCAACCAGTCGACATTGTTTGACCGACGGCACTCCGAGGAGCCCCTCTCTGTGGGAGCATACTGGCCAGTGGGAGGTTCTCAGTGGCGGAAGGCGGTCTTGTAGATATCCAGGTCCTAAGCCATGGAGCGCTCTAAAGGTGGTAACCAACACTTTGAATGGCACCCAGAGGACCACCAGAAGCCAGTGCAGCTCGCGCAGGAGAACTGCACTGCATGTCTTCCATGCTTCTTTCTTTTATTAAATGTTTTAAAGTATGATACTTCCATTATTAAATACAGCATGCATTTTCTGTGCTGGACAAATGTCAAACATGAAGGAAGAGCTGTTGGATTTTCAGCAAGTTTTCAAATGCCAGAAATTATTGCAATAAGGTTAATGTATTAGCAATAACCAGTCAATAAATTATTCACCTAATAAAGTATATTAGGTCAAAAAATACATCTTGTTGTTGCTGTTAGTATTACTGTATGTATACATTATGTTTCCCAGATATGGTATTTTCAGTTTATTAGTTTCCTTCCTTTATTTTTTGCTCTTGATGTTTTTAACTTTATACATTTCTGTGAACCATTCTAGTTAATATGCTTATACATTTAATAAAAAATAAATAAGTTACAGTCCTTTTCTGGTTTCATCATCAATTCTCAAGGTTCTCAAACATTTATATCCCTTTTTTTTTCTTGGATCCATCAAGAGTCTTCAGGTAAAGCCAGAATAAAATTGCTTTGAGACATTAAGTGTAGTTGGTTATCAGCAGGAACCTCTTTCCACAATGCAGAATTTTTGGAATATCTCAGGTGTGAGAAAGCAATGTTCAGTCTGCCCTCCCTCCCTTCACAGCTTCACAAAATGAATAAAATTAGCAGTCACTGCAGACATTATTATGTTGTTCCAACTTGAAGCTAAAGCAGTACACGTAAGATTGGCCTGGGGTCATGGCTTCATCAACTGGGAAGGAATATAAGAACTTGTTGACTAAAATAAAGGAAAAAAAGCCATATTACATCTGCATCTGTTTGAAATTTCTTCCCATGGAGACATGGCAAATGCTTGGTAGATTTAGAAAACAAAGTAAGATTCTATAAGCGATTCTCTTTTGTTCATCAAAGCCATAATGCCTCTGGCTATGATTGGTGCCTTCATATTATTGTTTTCCTTTGCTTGCGATTCCATACTATTTTAAATGTGGCATCTTTGGGGTGACTGTTACAATCTTTAATGAAGCGGTACAATAACAGTGTAGAAAATTCTCTTTGGTCCTTTCTATGATTCATTGTAAATCCCTTGACTATTGTCATGACTAATCATATCTTTCCTAATAACAGCCAAACATTTATTCTGTGAACAAATACGCTTTGTTCAATTGTATTAGACGTAGGATGGCACTTCTGCAACTTGAGATTTGGAAAATCACAGAGCAGGGTGCAATTTTTCATTTGGAGTGAAGTCAAGGGACTCGGGACCAAAATTTAATGGAAGTGTCAAACATAGAAATATTTATTAGGAAACTATTTTTCATGATTTGTCTTGCTTTCACTTGACAGCTCAGCTACCTAGCAGAGACAGCTGTCTTTTCTGTTGAATAGTTTCAGAAACTATAAAGCAAACATATCCTACAACGGTGATGTTTGTCAACAGCACCCAGTTCAGTCATATCTCCACAAGATGACAAGTATAGCCACATCATTAGTCTATAGCAGAGACAGGTCTTTTTATTTGTGCCACCAGGTCTCATTCTAGAAAACAATGACTTGCTTCCATCTTGTTGACAAGTCTGAAAAGAGAAAAATATGTAGAATATAAAATATTTGGAATTTGGATATAACTACAGTAACAAAAATGTATAAGAATTTTACAACCGTCTATGTTAGCCTACCAAAGGATCAGCATTGCTCCACAAGAGAGATCTGAATAAGGAAGCAGATGTTAAAATGATCGTTATCCCTCAGATGTGATAGGATGCTCTTTTGGACATTACTCCTGGGACCCAAGAATTATCCAGTTACTCCCCTACCCTATGTGAAGAACAAGAGGGCTGACTTTGGAGAAGACAATTTGACATTATATCACCCATCCTGTTTTTCTGTCAGCCTCAGTGGCTGCCTCAGCGGCCTCTGAATCTTGGAAGTTGTAAAAGATGTATGGTGCAAACTGAGATGGTGTGACAGAAAGCACCCCTTGAAGCATCTGATAAATTTACCTTATGCTGAAACTTTTGAAAGCAAGTCTCCAGGTTAAGAACACCCTGCCTTAAGGATGAACTCTACTTAAGAATGAGCTTATTGTAGCAAAATTCATGGTTAAACACACACAGTGATTCATGATAAATACACAATAGTTCAAGTTCATGACACAATACTACTTATACAATATTATACAATAATACTGTTCCATTTACATGTAAATTTGACTTGGGAACAGAACTTGTTTCTAAACTGGGAATACCTGTAATTGGTAGAAGAGAATATTTGTACCTCAGGGTTGAATTGCAGAGTTCTTGATACTCTGAGCTTTCATTACCAAACTAGGTAACATCATCAGTACTAGTAAGGAGTGGGGTTTGTTCTCATGTTATATACTAGAACAGTGATGGCTAACCTTTTTGCTGTTCGTGCCAAAAGCAGGGTGGGTCACGTGGACCTTTGGTTTATTCTTGCTACTTAATAAATTTGATAAGGACCGTTGGTATGTGTCAATATCCTTGGGAATCCAGAGCTGGGACAGAACAAAGAGCCCTCTTTTGTATATCTTAATATGTGGCTCCAGTACTTTAAAAATGGAATTTCTAACTAAAGCCATCTTCACATGCAACACTACAGAGCTGGCCTGGGATTTGTTCTGTATTGCTGGCTTTAGACACAAAGATCCAAAACACCTTCTCTGTTTTTCTTTGAGCTTAGCTGACAAAAGAAATCCCTGGGAGAATAGCTAAGAACAGCCCAGCAAGGCAAACTACAGAATGTCAAGAAACCAAGCTTACCCGGTGACAGCCTATACACCCTGTTTTCCCCAAAATAAGACATCCCCTGATAATAAGCCCAATTAGGCTTTTGAGTGCATGGCAATAAGGCCAAGCATTTATTTCAGAGTTCAAAAAAATATAAGACAGGGTCTTATGTTCGGGGAAACACGGTAGTTATCTCTTACTCTTGGAAAAAGAGGTCTCTAGTGAGATTTTAAATTATTCCCTGACTCATAACCAAAGGGGATGAGATGACAGGAAGGCATTTAACAATTTCAGTATGGAATCAACTTGCTATGCAAACATATCAGCACATTTTAATTTTACACCCAGAAAAGAAGCCAATTGTATTGACTTTTTGTTTTAAGCTCTCTTTCTAGCAGCAGCTACCGATATAACTGAGACATTCAACCTAGAAATAAGGAGAAATTTTCTGACGGTGAGAACAATCAACCAATGTTTCATCACTGGAGGCTTTTAGGAAGAGATTGGACTGCTATTTTTCAGAAATGGTGTAGTGTCTCCTGTTTGGGTGGGGGGTTGGACTAGATGACCTATAAGATCCCTTCCAACTCTGTTAATCTGTAACAACTGTGGCTTTCCCAATATTGTATATACTTTTACCTGTATGTGTGTAGTATGCAGTCCATAAGCCATCAGTTGCAAGTTCCCAGTCTTTCCAAATCACAGCAGGGAATATAGCACAAACATCCCAGCTGTTTTGGCTTGAAAATGAATTAAATGTATACAATTTGTAATAAGTTGAATGCATCTAGAAAATAGGATGACTCGTGCACATGCCAAAAAGAAAAAGGGAAAGAAATACCAGCTGAAACCCCGCTTCTCTCTGCTGATATTATTGCTTGGTGACCTGTCCATTGCAGCCTTCAACGGGCAAAACAGTACTTTTAAAAGTGCATCCCCTATCTTGAACTATATTGAACAATTTATATTACATTCTGCTCCTTTTTAAAGAGAGTGGGGGAGAGAGGGAGAGACAGACAGAAATATTGTAAATAGACAGACAGACAGACAGATGTTACTGTCTGTCTCTCTTATAGACACTCTTATAGACACTCTTATAGGATGAGTGCTTGAGGAGTGGGCATGTTTAAAATATAACTACCGGTAAATTGATTCTGAAGAAGTGTATGATTTGGCATTTTTGTAACTGGTGAACTTTGGAAGAATTCAGCCTGTGGTTGAATGCGTAATAAGAACCTATTTTCAATGGCTCTGCAAAACTTTGGGTAATTGGATTCCAAAGAGATTTCATTGAATTACTCCATAAATTGAATTCTGGGACACACCATACGTTCTGAGCCAGTTACAAGTAGATTAAGTCATCTTTGAGTTCTTCTTCCCAATTAGTGGGACAGTAGTGTTACTTCTTCCACTGAGCCTAAGGGGCATAAGAGGATAAAGAAACACCCAGGTCCCAGAATTTTATTCATGAAGCATAGAAGGGTCACTGCTTGGGAACACTTCAAGAGTGATTTGGTTCCTTTTACCCATTGGAAGTGTGAAATAAGCAGCGGTAAGGATGCAAATTATCCAAGCAGGATACCAGTGCTTTTAAAATTGAGGAAGCAAATTCCTCTTACTCTGACATTTCCGTGGGCTAGTATTAGTTCAGGCAGGCAAAGGAAGTCCCCTTACCCCATTCAGAATCTTTCCTTCCCCAGCAAGTTAAATAAACCAGATTGTACTTTGGGGATTTGTGACAAACAAAGGATAGAACATCTTCCAGGGGCGAACAAAATGACCCAGAAGATGGGAGAGATTTTGGAATTAAATGATCGATTTTTCACTCTGGCCCAAGATCAAACGTCTTCTCTAATGGAACTAGTGGCAACAGAAACTATCATGTCCTCACGTACTTATTTCTGGGAAATGAATCCACATAGCTATGCACAGAAGAAACATATGAGTGATGTACTTTGGAATGCAGTGCCATGGAAAAACCCTAATTCCTCTGCAGAGAAAACAAATTTTTCTTTATTCAGTTCCCGCTCTCCACCAATCCCATGAAGAATCATAAAAGCATCACAGCACATGTGCAATTCACCTGTCACCATCCTTCTACATGAATGGGAACAAGCCACTGTGAGTTATACATCCCCACCCGACTTTTCTCCTATGCAAAGAGTAAATTGTAGATTTCTCTTTTTCTTATTAAATGCAACTTCTAATGTTGTCTAGATCCGGACGTCTAGTTCTGGCAGTTCATTTGGTTTAAATAAGCCTTTAAAAATAATGTGGCAGGCAAAAAACACACACCAAATAGACATATCTTGGATATAACAATAGCACTTAGACTTATATACTGCTTCACAGTGCTTTACATCCTTCTCTAAGCAGTTTACAGAGTCAGCATATTACCCCCAACAATCTGGACTCTCATTTTACCAACCTCAGAAGGATGGAAGGTTGAATTAACTTTGAGCCTGGTGAGATTCGAATTGCCAAATTGCAGGCAGCCAGCAGGCAGCAGAAGTACAGTAGCCTGCAATTCTGCATTCTAAACACTGCACCACCGGAGGCTTCTGCAAATGAAAGTGATAGGAGAGGGATAATGTTCATACATACTCTGGGGCAGTGGTGGGTTACCCCCGGCTCGTACCGGTTCTATAGAACTGGTAGTAAAACCGGTGGGAGGCTCCGCCCACTAACCCCGACGCCATCAGAACGCTTCTGCGCATGCGCGACCCCATTGCGAACCGGTGGTTGCGCATGCATGGCTCCGTTGCAAACTGGTAGTAAAGGTAAGTAGAACCCACCCCTGCTCTGGGGAGAACATCCCGAGCTGTTCTCTGAGCATTTCTTAACTTTCTGACACAGCTGTGCCATTTCTTGTAAGGATGGATGAGTTTATTCTCAAGCTCTCTGAAGAGCCATTTATTGTCCTGATCCCCATGTTTTCTGGCTTCATCCCTATGTATTCAGAACAACCTGGCAAAAAGATGTGACAAACTTTGTAATAAAACAAAGCAGCCACCTAATTTGGCTGTTTGGTCCTGCGTACTGTCTGCCTGTCTTGGATATCTGCTGTTATGGTTATTGTAAAATTGGCACTCTGACAAGTACCAAGATTTTAACAACATTTGCCAATAATAATTACATAGGAAAGTCACAAAATACCAAGACCTACAAATAGAAATAGAACAACTGTGGCAAAAGAAAGCAAAGATAGTACCAATAGTAATAGGTGTCTTTAGTACAATCCCAAAATATCTGGAGCACCGCTTAAGCACCATCTGCATTGCCAAAATCACTATCAGTCAATTACAAAAAGCAGTTTTATTTGGAACAGCTTATATCCTAGGATACCTTTAACATAATCAAACAACATCTGCCTATCCCAGGGAAGGACCAGGGAAGGACTTGATAGGCAGGTAAAATTGCCAAATCCAGTCTAAATATCTGGTTGACTATGAACCATGACATTATAGCATTACAAGCCAAGCAGGAAAGAAGGGAGGGAGGGAGGGAGGAAGGAAGGACAGACGGAAGGGAGGAAGGAAGGGAAGGAGGAAGGAAGGGTTTATGAAGTTATAGAATTTAATCTGGCTTTGGAATGCTACAACAAATAACTGTTGGAAAATTATGTATTTCTAGCTACTCAATAGTTGCTTTCCACCCCAAAAAGTCTGCCTACCATCTGCTTCTAATTAATCTTGTGGTAAAGATGTAGGAGTATGAGCAGTTTGGGAGCAGTTTGTTCTAGTACCATTTCTATTTCCTTCAGTTGGGCTTGGACAACACAAGTCCCAGCATGCATTATACCCCTGGTGCATGCAAATCATGCTTAAAAAACACATATCTATAGCAGTGTGTGTTAAAGAATGGCATAATACTGTACATTTTCTATGTGAAGGAACTGAATATTTTATCTTAGGTACACATATTCTTTTATATGTGTTTCCCCTTTTAAAATAAGCCAGCTGGATAATAGAACTATTGATTTGTGAAAAAGAGTGGTTGCCCGTATAAGCTTCTAGCACAGAGTTTAATATTGCTTCATATCCAGGCACATTTGGCTATAACTATGATTCTTCTTGGCATGAGAACATTTTGTAAAAATTAGCCTATAGTGTAAAGAATAATAATATTTCTCACATATAAAGCACATTAGATGGAAAAAAACCAAGTGGGATAAACTGATAGATCTCTGGCACAGATTTAGTAGCTCAACAAAGGGGTTTAGGTTTCAGTGGTTTAATGGCAGCAACAATAGAACACATTTTTCTCTCATCCTAAATTAGCCTGCCAAATTAAAGAAAGCAAGAAAGTGAAAGAAGGAACAAAACTGATGGTCGAGTAAGCTGGAACTTCCAGGACTGAGTTGCAAGCCACCATTTGATGTGATGAAAGAGTATTCTTTTTACTCTTTAATGCTATGTTTTTGCAGACCAGATCTATTGTGGCTTTTCGCCCCAAACTGGTGGGCTACTCACGGAGTCCAAATCTTGAGTAATCTGGAGACTGACACCAGATCACTCTCGGGGCGAGACAGCCAGGAGTTTCTCCTAGCGTTCTCTTTTATTGTACTTGTTTGCGTAAGCAGAAGATGGGTTACATATCGGAAGGTAGGTTACATATGTGCATAGAAACATAAAGTACATTTCCTGCTAAGCTCTAACCACACATTTCTATAGACGCGACCACATGTGAATACTTCGCCTAGCTTACCCATGCTACATCCTGTTAGCTTGCTATGCCAGCTGCAGTTTGCTCATGCTAGTTTGCACGCCCTGGGTTCTCAGTTCACCTGTGCTGACACAGGCTATAAGAATCCGGACTGAATCTGTCCCAGCATCTCCTCTGTTTTTATTTTTAAGGCACGGATGACTCTTCCTCTTCTTCGTCCGAAGGAAAGGCCATACAGATATGTTTTTCCGTGCTTACAGAGGCAGCAAGAGAGACAGCGTCGCCCTCGTCCGGGGGTTCGGCACTGTCACACCCCAGTAGGGATGTTCTTTGCTCCTTGTGTTCCAGTAGCAACGCATTGTTTTTTGAGATAGTGCTATCCACTATACTCTGTATCAGGGACCTGAGCAAGGGTATTAGGCAGGGTAGCATAAGTAATCCCAGCAAGATGACTCCTAGCATTAGCGCGGCTTGTTTCCAATTGCGAAAAAGGCCACCCAGAAACCCCCCAGTATCCAAGATGCCAGTCCAAGTTTGAACAGGGACATGGGCTAATTTGGTAATTTTGTCTGCTACCTCAGTCAACACTTTGTGACTGTCATCGATCTCTAGACAACAATTTGAGAGATTGAATTTCCCACACACCCCTCCTTCAGCTAAAAGGAGATAGTCTAATGCTAGACGATTCTGGAAGACGGCATTTCTTAGTTGCCTTTGTGTTTTTCCAATCTGGCGGAAGGCCCTAGCAGTTTCGTTAGTGATAAGTTCTAACACCGCTTGTAGCCTGACAATTCTATTTAGCATATAAATGGGGGTACGGTAGCCATATGTTCCATCCGCAGCCCATGAGGTGGGGTCATAATAGTGGATGATACGCTCAGGGGGCCATTCATCATCTTTCCAGTTTCCAATTTTGATTTGTGAGACATCATACCCGATCTCGTATAAGGATCGTTTCTTTCTATTGTACACGGTATGGGCAAGGAACTGGCCACTATCAAGAGGGAGCATAAAGAAGGAGGGTCTTATAGTACCCAATGTACAAGACCCGCTCCAATAAGAGTCCAGAACGGAATAAGCTGTTTTTCCACAGATCCAGTATAGGCCTGCAGGGGCTATTCGGGGATCTGGAAAACCATAGTTTAGCCATTGGTTCCACAGGGGAATCCAATGGGAGGCGTTAGGAGGCATAGCGTTAGCGGGCCAGACCTGAGAGCCTGTGGCATTCAGTCGTAGAGTCGACTGACACACCGTGTGGCCCAGGGAGGGAGAGGAATTATTTTCTCTTTGCAAACACCATTCAGCAACTAGGGCACTTTTCAAAGGCCATCTGCTGTATGGGGGTTTGAGAGGGGAAGTAACATTAAAGGCAGTAAGATTAAAACGGATAGACATATTCCATTCAGACGGCAACCATGGCCATTGTTCTCCCATATTGGTGCCGCCACATATGTAACAATTGGTAACATTTAAAACCTCTGCTATAGTTTCCACGAGGGTTTGAAAGGTGTTGACAGCAACAGGCGGGATGTCCAGAGGGGTTTTTGTTTCTTCCCAGAAGTCCCGGAAGAAGTACTGCTGAAGATCATGGCCAGTTTCTGACATGGTGAGTAGACGAAGGTAGATGAGAGTTCCTGGGTCCTTACCAGAACCGCAGATTCGAATACCAAATTGCGGGCCCCATTGGGAGATGAAATGTTCCGGATTGAAGATCGTGAAATTGAGGAGATTACAAGACCCCTTTGAACAGTCAGATTTAACCGGGACGATTTTCAAAACAGCTGATGATTGTTTGCTGACAGTCTGCCAGGTTGCCCAAGCAATACAACTCCAATAAGGGCAATACCGTTCATCCGGAGCGTTGCACTCGTTCTTTCCCTTATATTGGCGAGGCCATTTTTGGGGACAAATGTATTTATCTTGGTGTATATAGTATCTCTGCCAATTTAGGGTCCCACACTGTGTAGGCCATTGAGCGAATCGGCATGCATCAAATACGAGGGAGGCAGGGGAATTTTTAGACACCAAGCGAGTGTTTGTAATAAATTCTCCATTTGTATTGCCCTTTCGTGCTTCCAATAGATGATAAACCGCTGGCTGTTGAGGGTCATAACAAGTAACCTTACTATTTTCTGTACAAGCAGAGTATGTAATATTTTGAAATAGACAATTTGTTGTAACCTCGCCCTTGCAGTGATATCTATTCTTATAAAGGAGGGTACGACCCTCCCTAGCGTCAGTGCGGGTAATGGAGATACAGGAAGAACAGGGGTTTGGTTTTGGGAGGGCATGCATCCACAAACCATGGGCATAAATCAAAAGGACTGATAAAATGAACCCTGGAACAGGTGCCATGTTAAGACCAATGATAGGAATACGTAAGAGGTGGTTGACTAAGGGCTGTAATTACAGTAGGAGTTGCCGTTAGGGTAGTGACCTGTTGGCCAGAGGAATTGGTATATATGTATTCCTCAAGTAATTGTTCAATAACAACTATGTCACAAATAAGGTCACAATCAATACAATGGGAACAGCAGCAGGAATCGCAAGGGCAAGGGCAAAACCAGCACATCTGACACGGCGGTTGTCTCAAGCGGGGGACGAAGGTGGTGGCGTGGAGGTCATGTGGTATGGTCGCACACACCTTCCCGGGACCCACAGGACTTTATCCTTCAACTGGACTGCAGCATATCCTCTACCCCAGGTTATTAAATCAGCCAGTCCTTTCCAGTCGGGTTCTGGGAGACATCGATAGTAGACTTGTGGTTTTGCAGCTTTAGGAGAGGGGGGTGAAGAGAAATGACGTTGAGCTGCCGTCGTAGGTGGTTGTCCCGTCTCATTCAAAAAGTTTAGGGTATACAAAGCCAAGTTTAACTTGTCTTGCACTGCTGGGAGGCTAGGGGGTCCTTTCCCTAGGTCAAATCGTTCCAGGGCGTTTTTCAAGGTCTGATTAGCCCTTTCCACTATCCCCTGGCCCTGACTATTATAGGGAATTCCAAATTTGTGAGTAATTCCCCATCGTGTACAAAAATCTGCAAAGGCAGAGCTGGTGTATGCAGGGCCATTGTCAGTTTTCAATTCTTTTGGGCGTCCCAGCGATGCAAAAGTCCGAATACAATGATTGATGACATGTTTGGTTGTTTCCCCTCTCTGGGGAGTGGCCATAAGGAAGCCTGAGTATGTGTCCACTGATACATGCAAATATTTCCAGGGTGAAAAAGGGGAGTACTGGGTGACATCCATTTGCCAAATTTGGCAAACCTCTAGACCACGGGGATTTACTCCCATAGGGATGGACTTGGCTTGTTTGCTACAAGCAGGACACTGGTTAATTATTGCAGTTGCTTCCACGGCCGTGATTCCAAATTGCTTAATTAATGCTTTTTTATTTTGATGGAAATATGCGTGGCTGTCCCAAGGGGACGGTTTGTTATCAAGGACTGAAAATACATCAGCTTTCGCTGTGGCGGCAGCTGCATCAGCCACAGTGTTACCTTCCTGTATGAAGCCAGGAAACGGCTGGTGACTGCGGATGTGGGAAACGTAAAAAGGGTGCTGGCGAGCCATAATCAAGGTTTGTAAAGACAAAAACAGAGACAGCAGAGAGGATTCAATTGAGGGGGATAAATATGCATCGAATATGTGAGACACAATTTGGCAGACATAGAGGCTGTCGACAATCAAATTGAAGGACTCAGTGGGGAATTGGTCAAAAGCTAAGAGGGTAGCGTATAACTCAGCACGCTGGGCGGATTTTTGAGGGGGGGTGATTTTAGTTTTCCATTGGCCGTCCTTCTGCCAAGCACAGGCCCCATATGTCCTGCTCCCATCGGCAAAGACTGTAATTGCCTGAGGAATGGGAAGGAGTTGGCAGGGGGAGTTCCATTTAAAAGGAATAGTTTTCAGAAACTGAATACGGGGATCGGAGGGGGGGTGGCAGGAAAGAGTGCCTGGCCATTCCACCAAGGCCGCCTGCAACAGGTCCGATGTCTGAAAGGCAGCCTCCCAGGTAGTCAAAGGCATTGGAAGAAAAATTTTTGAAATGTCGAGGCCTATTAAGGCCTTGCTTCGAGAGCGTCCTTTAACAATCAACTGGGAATAGGAAGTCAATCGGGGAGTAATAGAATTTCTAGGCGTATGGGGGAGGTGAAGCCATTCTACAATTTTCAATGAAGGGTCTGTCACCTGCCCCAAGAGTCCTGTAGGCAACCCTTCTGTATTAATTATGACTAAAACAAAAGGACAATTTGATTGAATTCGATCCACCCATCGTCGACCTAGGGCTTCATTGATAAGATCAAGGGTGTCTAATTGAGATTGCGTTAAAGAGATGGGATCCGAAGGGTGCTTTCCTTGGGTTAAAGCCGAAAAAAGAGGGCCTAATTGAGAGGTTGTTAATCCTGAGTATGGTCGAATCCAGTTGATGGACCCTAAGTATTGCTGGAGCTGAATGAGTGTGACGGGATTTGGGAGAAAGATCTTTGGCGACGCAGGGGCAGCATGCGAAGCCAGCATCTTGTGTCCCAAGTACATGAATGGCGGGGTGCTCTGTACCTTTTCTGGGGCTATATACAACCCTCCAGTGGCCAGGATGCGTTGAAGGCATGGGAGAGATGCCAATACCGTCCCTTTAGGGGCGGGGGCGGCCACCAATATGTCATCCATATAGTGATAAATAAAGAAAGTAGGATATTTTTTACGGTAGGGGAGCAACACCTGTGAAACATAGTGTTGACACATAGTAGGGCTATTTAGCATACCTTGGGGCAGCACTTTCCATTGATAACGACAAGAGGGTTGGGAGTTATTAAGCTCAGGTACTGTAAAGGCAAAAAGCTCCCTATCGTCTGGGTGTAGGGGTATAGAAAAGAAGCAGTCTTTTAGATCAATGATCATCAGATCAAAATCAGAGGGGATCAAGTTTGGGTTTGGGGTGCCACATTGTAGTGCCCCCATAGGTTTTAAAATAGTATTGATGACCCGTAGGTCATGAAGAAGGCGGGGCTTACCGCTCCGTTTTTTAATGATAAAGACTGGGGTGTTATATGGGCTGGTCGATGGCTCAATATGACCAGCTTTTAATTGGTCGTCAATGAGAGACTTTAAAAGAGTTAGTTTTTCTTTTGTCAAAGGCCACTGATCCACCCAAACGGGGGTGTTTGAGGTCAGGGACAGTTTTAGTATGAATTCCTTAGCCATTTGCTTATTCCAATATTAATTTAGCCTGTAACTGGGACATAAGGTCCCTTCCCCACAGGTTTATATGCAAAGGTAATATAATTGGCTTTATATAAGCGATAATTGTTGATGAAGGAGATGTGATTTCAATCCATTCAGAGCTGGCTCTAGCAACTTGCGCCTCTCCCACTCCTCGTACAGAAGGGGCAGATTGAGTAGGCCACTCTTTTGGCCATTCCTCTTGTTTTATAACGGATACATCAGCCCCTGTGTCTAAAAGGCCAGAAAACTGTCGGTTATTAAGGAAAAATGAAGCAGTAGGACGAGCGCGAGCCAAAGGCAGATCCAAAGCACAAATGTCCTGCGGAAAGGCGTCCGTTAGTAAGATCAAGGTAGCAACTACCTCTCCCTCTTTAATGGAAGTAGGACTATTTACAGTGATAGTTAAAGAGAGATCGTGCAGAGTTTCAGAGGAGCGAAGAAAAGGAGAAGCCATAATTCCTCGCTCTGCGAGGTCTGCATTAGGGAAAAGTAGGACAGGAAGGTTTGGAGGCAGGTGCAGCTGGAGGCGCGGGCCTATGGGCATTATATATACATGGGAGGGGAGAACATAAGTAGTTGTTTCTAAAGCCACCATTTCGAAAGAATGTGAATATATTTTTTTGGTGTTTTCGTCCTCCATTACTTCAGCCTTTTTTGCAGGGCTAGCTGAATGCCCCACTACTCGTTTCCCGATTTGGAGGAGCGACAAGCTTTTGCCCAATGAAATCCCTTTTTGCACTTTGGACAAACCGTTTTTGGTTGGTTTGTTTGTCCCCTTGCTTGGTGGCCTCCTCCCCCCGGGGCACGGCACTCTGCCTTGAAATGGCCAGGTTTGCCACAGTTAAAACAACTTCCTGTTTTGGGTCTTGTTCCTTGTTGTTGGAGGGCTGCTGCTAATGCCTCCATTTGATATGTGGTGGTGCCTGCTTTTCTGCAGGCTTCTAAAAATTCTGGCAGATTTGCCTCAGGGTTTATTACAACATTTTTCAGGATAGATCTGCAATCAGCGTTGGCATTTTCTACTGCCAACTTCTTTGTTAATTCTGTTCTAGCTGCTTCATTATCTATTTGTCTAACAATAGCTTGAGTAAGTCTATTGATGAAATCTGAATAAGGCTCCTGAGGCCCTTGTTTAACACTTGCAAAAGAGCTGATCACATTTTTTGTATCTCCTAGTTTAGAGAATGCTGTTAGAATAATGTCATTTAAAAATGGGTACATGGCGACCGGGGAGGGAATTTGGAGAGCCACCGTCGCTACTGGTCCCTCTCCCAAAAGATGGTCGGCGGTGACGCTGGCGGGTAAGGGGCCATAAAATAAGGTGACCATAGCCATAAGGGCTTTCCAGGTTCCTAGTATGTGGGCGGGCGCTCTAGGGGACTCATGTAGCCAATTGCCCATTCGGCGCCACGTATTAAATTCTAATCGTCCTTCCTCTGCATACGCGGGGCATTTCTCACCAAGGAAATGGAGAAAAAGTCGGATATATTTTTCCTTTGGTGGGTATGCAGTAGTTCCATTTGCCTTTTGTATCACATTTGCTTTCCTGACTAAAATATCTAATTCTTCCAGATGCGCTGCCTGGGTTTTAGATAATTTCTGTCCCATACTCACCTAATTGTGCACGAGGGGTCTATTCCAGACGAGTGAGTAGTAGGCCGTCAGGCGACGTGTCCTGAATGAACCGAATCACGTCGGGGTCACCAGTTGTGGCTTTTCGCCCCAAACTGGTGGGCTACTCACGGAGTCCAAATCTTGAGTAATCTGGAGACTGACACCAGATCACTCTCGGGGCGAGACAGCCAGGAGTTTCTCCTAGCGTTCTCTTTTATTGTACTTGTTTGCGTAAGCAGAAGATGGGTTACATATCGGAAGGTAGGTTACATATGTGCATAGAAACATAAAGTACATTTCCTGCTAAGCTCTAACCACACATTTCTATAGACGCGACCACATGTGAATACTTCGCCTAGCTTACCCATGCTACATCCTGTTAGCTTGCTATGCCAGCTGCAGTTTGCTCATGCTAGTTTGCACGCCCTGGGTTCTCAGTTCACCTGTGCTGACACAGGCTATAAGAATCCGGACTGAATCTGTCCCAGCAATCTATTGCTTCTGGTACAGTCATGGCAAACCTATGAGATGCATTCAAAGAGGACATGCCAGAAGATTTTGGGTGACAGGCTAGTGTTTACTAACACCTGACAACAACTGTTCTCAAAAATGTGCCTTGTTCTCACATGATTTTCGGAGGTTGGGGAGGCCACAAGAGAATGGGGTGTGCTCTTGTATGATTTCTAGAACAGGGGCAGTTTTCAAAACCTGTCACTACCGGTTCGCTCATGCGCAGAAGTGTCCGGGTGGGTGGGCAGAGCCTCCCACCACCGCCACCGCCACCACTACCGGATTGCCCGATCTGGGGAGAACCGGTAATAACCCACCACTGCTCTAGAGCCTCCAAAACTCATGTGAAAATGGGCCATGCTTTGGTGTGATGTTCAGAGGCTTCAGAAGGATTCTTCAAAGCCACTTCAAGAATGAAGGCCTCATGTGACTGGGAGCAGCCTCAGGTAGCCCTCAGGGCCCTGTCAACAGAAAGAGAAGACCACATCAATGTAGGCGGTGGGCAGCATATCCTGGGGCATCCTTGTTTGCAGGACAGTCGTGCCTTGGGAAATGGGGTGAGGTGATCTTTTTGAATGGCAGCAATGGCATTAGGGCTGAAGTTGAGGTCCAGTCCTCTACTTCAGGGCCAGTCTTGAAGCTGCCACTGAGTGCTGCTATTCTGGGTGACCTAAATGGGGAGAAGAAAGAAAATTGTTTCTCTTTTGTTCAGTGCGGGGGAGGGGGGATGACACTCCAACAGAGTCAAATTAGGCATTTTCCAAATTTTTGACAAGCTGAGCCCCAAAGGCTCGCCATCACTGCTTTAGTGTAAGGTTTCAGTATTGAAAACTAATGTGGAGGACAAGCATCTGTTCGGTCATTCCATAATTCTATGTGTGTCCTTTCATCCCACTTATTAATTACTCATTTGCAGGTAGTCCTCGGCTTATGATTGGTTCCAATCATTGGAAATTATGATAGTCCTAGGAGCTTAATGAGCTGTAAAGCACTTATGGCAGTCATAAATTGTTGTGTCCCTCTCTTCCATTTAAGTTGATGGACTTGGAAATGAATTCAGCCTTTGGTTAGGCCGCTCAAAACACCACCTACATTATTTCAGTAACCATCACAATTCATAATGGGACTTATTCTGTCTGGAGATAAGATCTATTTTATCTCTGAGGGAACCATATAGTCATATGCATTCTTAACCAAATGATTGCTCCTGAAGTCCACGGTGAAATGTAAATATGAGCTGCACACTGAAGCATAGCCTTGTACCGTAAATTCAGGATAAAAGGAAGGTCTTTCAACAGCCCCATGAAATTTATCATCCCAGCACCACAAACTCTGATTGCTGCCACTTTATTTTAAAACATACATTAGGCAAATAAATAGCTTTGCAGATACCCAGCTGCATATAGCATCAACCTTTTTTTTCCCTGAGCAACCATGATTCTATGAGCAGCCTCTTTTTTTATTAATTCAAAGGAATTGGAAATAAATTGTAAATGATTTCCATGTTTTCTCAACTGAATAGTCAATGTAACCTTCAGTCAAGTGAAAAATTTGCTCAGACATCCTTAGCTCTTCATCTTTTTTCCTGTGTTTATTGCAACTAAAATTGCTTTCCTAATTGATCCTTCATTACAGCAAAGTTAGATAGCCATAACATTGCAGCCCAAATTGTCTTGCCCAAATGTACCTGGCATGTGGAGATTATTGCAAGGTTTCCCAGACACAAGCTTCAAACAAGCCACAGAAGGAAATTGGTGCCTTCATGTGTAAACAATTTCTCCTCTCTTCTATATCCACAATCATCGTACTGTGAAAACCATAAGAGAAAATGTTGAGATAACCCTTGTTGTAATATGCAGTTCAGGCATATTTAGCAAAGAATATATCATATTTTCGCACTATAAGATGCTCCGGACCATAAGACGCACATTAGCTTTAGAGAAGGAAAACAAGAAAAAAAATCTGCCTCTTCCTCCCCACATCCACCTGGTATTCATCTGGCTAGTGTCCTTGCAGCAAACAGCAAAAGCCTGGTCAGCATCAGCACGTTATTGCAGCACCAGCATGTAGCTTGTCAGGGCTCCGCTCCATTGTGCCCACCACCAATCAACTGAGTTGAGCTGCCGCTGTCACTGGGGAACATTGGAGTCTTCGCTACCAAGCAGCTGATTGGTGGTTGGATTGGCCTCCCGGAATGCATCAACTATTCTAGGCAACGGGGATTGCTGCTGCCACTGCTTGTCGCTGCTATCACTGCTTATCACCGCCTATCGCCGCTGCTGTCATTTGCCATCACTGGTCACCACCGATAGCGACCGATCACTGCTGCCTTCTGCTGTCGAACGGCGCCGATCAGCGGCAGCAATTGATGATCAGTGGCCGCGGCGGCAATTGCTGGCGACAGCGGGGGCCACTCCTGCTGCCTAGAACAGCTGATCAGCGGTATTCCGGGAGGCTGACCCAACTACCAATCAGCTACTCGGCAGTGAAGGCTCCAGTGTCCCCCAGCGGCGGCACCAACCCCCTCCCCCCCTCTGCAATATTCACTCCATAAGACGCATAGACATTTCCACCCACTTTTTTGGAGGGGAAGTGCATCTTATAGTACGAAAAATAACAGTATGTGAGAGTAGAATTAAGCCTTTTGAAAATAGCTAAAGAGGTCCAAGCAACAAATTAGTTTATTAAGAAAATATACATGTTTTGATAGAATGTCTATGACTCTGAACCTCCTGTCCTCATGGCAGAAGAAATGAGAAGATAGAGGAAGTAATGTAGGAAGCAACTGAAGGGAAGAAGCCAGTAGTCTTCCAATCAGAGAAAAATAGGGCAAAGGAAAGAAAGAGACAGAGAAGGTGTATCCTTACTTGCCCAACGGCAGTCAATAGGATAATAGGGGTACATATGCCTCTACAACTGCAGAAATTGTTTGAAAGTACATGCTCATTTCTCATCTGTACCAAAGCTAATATCAGATAGACTAAGGACTATTTTAATTTTTCAGGATAAATGTTATTCTACCATCCTTATGTACTGGGGTGGAATACAATAAACCTCAGCATAAAACCTATCAACATGTCATTAACATCAATATAAATTAATGCATAATGCATGTCAGTGGACAACTTCCAAATAGATATACAGTATGTAGGATAGTATTAAGAAACTAAGATTAGCAAAAAGATTAAATTTATACCACTTCAGTTTGGCATTCAGCGTATTTTCTTTCAACTGCATGCTATCCCATGGACTGAAGTTTCTGCAACAGGATGGCAGAAAGTGCTGTTTGTTCAACATATCCCATCTAAATTAGTTCAAATTCAGAGGGAAATGGAAATGAATGTTATAAGATTATGATTATTTAAGGTGTATTATTTAAGGTGTATGTACAAGAAACCAGTACATACCAATTTAGATAACAATCTAATTTGGTATGTTGATAACAATCAACTACTGTAGTGGCATGTTTTCCTGGATTATCAGTAGAGTTTTTCTTAGTGTCTGCCACCTAATTTTCTGAAATATTATGGAAATATCCTGGAGATATTGGTTCTACAGCTAACCTATAGATTCTCATTTGGATAATTTATCTTTTGTGTGCTAGAGAAAAATTAAACTTGCTAGGAAAAAAAAATTGTCGTCTTTTTAATGTACTCTCATAATGTCATTATATCATATGTATTCCATACACTTTCTGTGGATAAAACTGTATATAATTGTTGCAATTAAAACCTAAATATAGCATAAGGATGTCACAATATCTCCAAATTCAAAAAGACTGTAGTTCATTCCAAATTTGATTAGTTTCTGCCACCATACCTGTAATTATGGCAATTAGAACTAGGAGCAAAATGAATCTCAAACTAAGGCAAATTCATTCATGCAGAACAATTCAATCTATCTTGGAGGGGGTAATGAAAGAAATTGCAGTACTTGGGGATCATAGGTTCATTATAAATATGTGTCACATTATCTACTGGAAATAAAGGAAAATCTAATCTAATTGTTTATAAAATCCCTCCCCAGCACACAATTTAATATCTTATATCTCCATCTAGTGATGAGACACACTGAAAGCAAGTTAAATGTTTATCATTTAATTGTCACTGTGCTGTTTCAGATAGTGAGTCCTGGTGAATTGGTTACCTTAAGAATTAAGAGCTGTCTCCTTAAGAGATTGCATTGTGGGAGATGTAGAGAGAGATTGCATTATGGGAAATGTAGTCCATGACATGTGACCACATCTGTGTGTCTGATTAGCCACTGAGGCTCTCTGCCTGGGTGCAGAACAAAGACCGGGCCATTTTGAACTACCACAGAAGAGAGAAGCATGCTTTCTGAACAGGGGGACAGAACTACCATCATTTTACACTAGGAAATGGAATAGATTATGAAATACTTGGATGAACCTCACCTTGACTCACCGTGATTGTAAGTCTATGGTTTCTGAAGGATTCCCAAATAAATATAATCTGCATGAAAACCTATTTGCTAGAGTTTATCTGCCTGTTCCCAGTGGAGCCAGATGCCTGGGGAACAGAACAGTCACATTTAGATAGTTAGATACATTTCAGGAAATAATTAGCATAAAGGGGAAGATTAACTAAAAGGTCTATATTTCTATTATCGATAGAGGTATTTCTTGCTTCCTTTTCTGCCTCATATCAATACAAGATTTAAACAACAACAACAACAACAAAAACCCACTTGGCTCACTTCAGTGTACTATCTGTATCTGAACCATGTGTTAAAATCTACTTCGATTTAATGTGTATTTTTTTAAAGTAACCCTGAAGTCATAAATTTATAACCATGAAACTCCTAGAGAAATGTGACATAAAAGCATACTTAAACAGTGATCTTGTAACACATATTATCCCCTGGATAGCTGATTTAAAATCAAAAGACCGTTTGGCGATATTTGTTATAAAACATCTAAAACAAACCCCCAAATATTATTTGTTCAAAAAGATAAAAATGAATACATACTTATGGTAAAAAGATCTGGAAACTAGGCCACACAAAAGGGAATCTGAATTCTTTTAATAAGTCACTGAAATTCAACGAGTATTACATTATGGTCTAATTTGCTATTCCATATTCAGTAATATAAGACAAAAAGCAGGACAGTATGATTATTTTTAAAGATAAATATGTCATAAATGAATTAACATACTATGCAAAATGAAGTTACATACTCTATAGACTGCCTGTTTTTGGTTTATTGTGTTGTAATTTTTGAGTTATTGACAGCTGCAAAACAATTTGACTTCATTAATGTAGTACTTGGTCGTTTAACTGAATTTTATAAAAAGTAAGGAGACAGCTCTGAGCATAATTATTTGTAAGTCCTGTCCATTGAAATCAAAGATGCTTACTTCAGACAAGGTAGAAAAAACATGCGAAGCAAGGTTTCTGCTATTTCCCCCCACTTCCTTCATAATTGTTTATGTTTATAACTTTGCTTTACAAATGAAAATTCAAGAGCAAAACTAATTGCAAAAATAAGACTTATTAGAATTAGATAGTCTAATAAGAATATCTAAAATCAAAAAGTATACATAAATTTATTTTTAAAAAGACAATTCAATTTCCATATTTTTCACATTAATGTGAAAGATTGCTAAGTGATACCATTTGTATGGTAAAAGTTAAATGACAAAAATAAAGGACAAAAGTGAGTTTTTGAAAAGTAAGTAAATATAAAGCACCTTTTTGAAACAAAGGGCTGTCCTTAAAAAAACCAAAGGACAGGTGGTCACTTTAAATCTGAGGAGATGGAGAAATGGCTTAGAGCAGTTACTACCATTTCCAGATGCTGCCCAGTTTGACTCCCATGAGGCTGCATTAGGGAAATTTTTCTTCAGGAATATTTTTTCACTGCAGACTTTGGCTAGGTCTGGCCCACTACCAAACTCAGGATTATAGGGGCATGATATGAAATGACAAAACAGCCTGCTCCACTGCATTTTCAACAACTTCAACTTCCAAAAGTCTTCAAGAAGAGCTCAATGTGCAATGTGCTACAGTAAGTCAAACAGGAGGTGACTAAGGCAGGGGTCCCCAACCCCTAATCTGTGGACTGGCACGGGTTTGCAGCATGCCTGAAACTGGACCGCACAAACAAGGGAAGCCCCATCTGCAGGAGCACACAAAATCACACCCCCTCCGGTCCATGGAAAAACCTCTTTCGCGGGACCGGTCCCTGGTGCCCAAAAGGTGGACTAAGGCATAAGTCACTTTGAGAAAGGCCTCCCAATCCAGGAATGGGTGCAATTGGTGCTTATACTTAACCTAACATGTTTCTATGAGCTCGACTTGTTCCCAATAAACTGTCAGGTGTAGTGGCTTTCACTTATTAAGCCTTACATGGTATAAGGCCAGGCAACTTGTGGTGATACTTCCATCCCATTGTTTCTGCTTGCAGTACTAGATGTAGCCAAGAAGACATGCTTGGGGTTTCCTCCATGAAAAACTACCATCTTGTTGGACCCCAGAGTGTGCCTTCTCTTTAGCAACACTATATTGCCAGAGATCTGGATGGCCCCAACCTCATTAAGCCTTTTTTAAGGCTCTGAAGACCTGGCTTTTGGAAATGGAGAAGGAGGTTGAGTCAGCTGTTCATCTTTGACAGCATCACTATCTTAGTGATTAGAGAAGGTCTTGGTCCGAGGGAGGTCACTGTTCCTCAGACGGCTGGTTGTGAGTCCCTCCTTGTGAAGTGGGGTCATGGGGTGCAGATGGGTGTGCTGGTTACGTACCTGGCTCCCTGCCACGTGACGGCAGCCCTGCCCGAGCTGCTCAACGTTATAGCCGCGGTGGCGGTTGACACCCCCAGGCTTATGGTCATGGGGGATTTTAACCTGCCATCCATCGGTGAGGCGTCTGAGGTGGCTCGGGAGTTCATGGCTTCCATGACGGCCATGGACCTGACCCAGTTAGTTCATGGCCCTACTCACACGGGGGGAAACACGCTAGACCTGGTTTTTGTCTCTGGTCAGTGGTTGAGTGATCTTGAGATAGGGGATATAGTGATCGAGCCCTTGTCATGGTCAGATCACTCCCTCCTTCGCTTTGACCTTCGAACCGCCGCACCCAGCCGCAGG